TCAGAGTCTTGCTGGTTTATGACTTCGGTAGAGAGATCTGACCATGCCTGCAAGGTGTCATGGGCAGGGACGATCTGTCCCTCAAGAGCCAAGGTACAGGACTGACAAAGCCTGGCTGTAATTAATGAATTCATCTACTTGGGGTCTCTTCTGAAAAAAAAAATCTTTAAAATGGCTCCTACTCCTTTCTGTCGGTCAGTGTCTGCCTTTTCAGGTCCTGCCTGCTTTTCTCTCCCGTTTTGTCTCTCGGAGCAGAACGTCCGTCGGCATTAGGAGCAAGCGGCGCGGTGTCGCAGCTCTCCGGGCCCTCAGCGGAAGCGCCGGTGCCATCTCGGGAGGGGGCGCCTGAGGTGCCGGGACCCGTAACCAACATTTCTTGTGCGTAATCAAAACTGCCTAATTTCAAAAATACTGAGCTTCTCTCGTTGGCATCACAGGAGTTGAGAGCTCTGAAAATCAAGTCACTTTTCTGAATACTGGCTGTAAGTGGCATCCAGTTTGTAAGCGTGGTGTTATATCCTCAGCGCTGTCGTTTACCAGGCCCTGTGACAAGTAGTATTACCCGCCCAAACTTCAAACCATGGCTGACAAATGTCTTTCAACTCTTTCAGGAGAAGGCATTAATAAAAAAAAAATAGCGTGTTTTTTTCTTGGCTTGATCTGATGTATACTTCAGTGTTTTTATAAAGAAATCATTTAAACATTTTACGAAAATCTTCTGCCGGTGTGGTTGAAACTATTAAATTGTGCCGTGATAAACAACAGCTTGTTGTAAATTTAATTGTCTTTTTTGTACTCTGTTCTCATTTTCATTGAAACTAAAAAACTTCCAACTGTTTCTGCGAATCCAAAACCATGTTGACATAAACCACTATCCCATGAAGACTCAAAGGTACTCAGTTGTCACCTTGTCATCTTGTGTTAAATAGATTAAAAGCTGGATGGAAAGCCCGGGTGTGCAGGAAGGTATATGTTCTTTATGTAGGTAGTTTGGAGGAAGCCTTTAACATAACAGGAGTGTGGCCAGCAGGTCGAGGGAGGTTCTCCTCCCCCTCTACTCTGCCCTGGTGAGACCCCACCTGGAGTACTGTGTCCAGTTCTGGGCTCCCCAGTTCAAAAAAGATGAGGAACTCCTAGAAAGAGTCCAGAGGAGAGCAACTAGGATGATAAAGGGGCTGGAGCATCTCTCCTACAAGGAAAGGCTGAGAGAGTTGGGCTTGTTCAGCCTGAAGAAGAGAAGACTGAGAGGGGACCTTATCAACACATACAAATATCTTAAGGGTGGAAGTCAAGAGGATGGAGCCAGACTCTTCTCAGTGGTGCCCAGGGACAGGACAAGGGGTAATGGGCACAAACTGAAGCACAAGAGGTTTCAGTTGAGTATGAGGAAAAACTTCTTTACTTTGAGGGTGACAGAGCACTGGAACAGGCTGTCCAAGGGGGTTGGGGAGTCTCCTTCTCTGGAGATATTCAAAGCCCGCCTGGATGAAGTCCTGTGTAACCTGCTCCAGGAGAGCCTGCTTTAGCAGGGGGGTTGGACTAGATGATCTCCTGAGGTCCCTTCCAACCCTTGCGATTCTGTGATTCTGTGATTTATATGAAGCAATGATCACATGAAATAAATCGTACACATGTAAGGATCCTGCCTAAACAAAGCTCTTTGGTCAATGCCCTGCTTTCAGGCAATGGGCATTTAATATTCTTTGCCTTGAGGGCGCACTTTTCCTATGAAATAAGTCATTTCTCTTCCTTCTGTCTTGTAAAATTTACTGTGCAGGTCATACCTACCTGAAGTTGATGGACTGATAGCTCCAGACACCCAAATATATAAACAGTGACAAAAGTGGAACTCCAAAAGTCCCCACGCTTGCCTGCTGTGGTGTGTGCTGAAGGAATAAAGGGCAGAACATACTGGGCTTCTAGGCCAGTTTGTTCTCTGGACACATGCTCAGGCCATGCCCTGTTCATTTTTTCAGCAATATATATATATATGTATACCACTGGCCTAGGGACTAGGAGCTGCCTTGGCACCCACATTGAATTATGTGAAGAGCCTGCAGATAGCGTTAGCTTTTTGTTGTTAACAAGACCTAAAACTTGCAACAAGCGGCATCATATTATAGTCCCTTGAACCGTTCAGGTTTTGAGCCCTATACAATTTAAAGAGTTAAAAATTAATGATGAAAATAGAAGCAGCTGCCTGGTGACTAACCCGAAGAGCAGCTATGCCTTACACAGTGAACTTTAATGCATGCGTCATCCTGAGTGTTGAAATCTTGTCGTTTAATCGTATGTTAAATAAATAACTGTTAAATAAGTTAAATGACAGTTTTACAAATGCTGTTTATTGTCACAACAATCAACAGTGACAATCCCAGTATGACGTAAGAAAACATGAGCTGTTTTTATCAGGTTGCCTGAAGCCCAGCATGGGTAGGCGATACAACCCACAGCTCTCAGCGACTCATGGGCACGGGGTGTGTTTGCCTTTGGGAGATTTACTGGCCAACTTTCAGATATCCCCAGATGTGCTCAGGTCTCTGTGACTGGTGTTTCTAGTTGCCCAGTTCTCTGCCTTCCCATGTGCTTAACCGATAAAAATCACTGGACTTTGAATTGGGGGCAATATAAACCAGGTGAATCTGGATTTCTCTCTCTAGTAATGTGTAATATTTTTTTGTATTTTGCCTGATTTTTATCACAAGAAACTTCTGTCGTTAAGTTTGAGAAGGGTATCCATAAATAAAGGGGTCATTAACCTTTACACATTACTTAATGGTATGTACTGTGGTACACATAGGTGTGACAACACCTGGCACTTATGATAGGCAATGTCCTCCATCTTCAGAATGACTGGTCTTATAATAATTCTAAAAGTCGTAGCTTAAATATAATTCTGTGCCGCCTACTTGATTTCAGCTAGTGTAAATCGCTTATAGATAAGATTCTGGCATTTGAAAAGTAAAAAAATTATTAACTGATGTTGAGCATTTGAATCTCATTAATTTCCTTCATTTTATCTGTGTATTTCTACTTCACTTACTTCAAGACACAAATATGACGTACTTTTTTATGAACGAGTGTGTCATTGTAATAAAATGTTGAATCTGTTGTATCCACAGTTGTATTGCAAAGACGTTGAACTACATCTCTAAGCAATTCTGCAGGCAAATGCACATTTCAAAATCCTGTCTCTGGAAACTAGCAGTAAACTAAGAAATAGTTGATGTGTGTTTGAAAAATATGAATTTTACATTTATTTACTACTGTCTGCAAAAGTTTAAAGGAAGAAAGACATTAAATAAGATTATCCTCCACCTTGCCACCATCTCTGTAATTTGTGTTTCATTAAACAGGAGTGCACGGGCTGTTGTAACAGATTTTTTGGTTTGTCCTCTTTCTTCCAAGGTTTAGCAACTTCCCCCAGTGGTTAGTACAGCACTCCAAGCAACTAATCCTGTATCTATAAACTGTAACGTCAAAGGATTAATGTGTGCCTGGGAACGCAGGTCAAATCTGCTTTAGATCACAACAGTTTGAGTTCAGCTCCTAGCTGAAAAATCACGAAACTACCATATAATTTAGTACAAGTCTTGCATTCCTATACTTCAGCTGCTGGTTGCCTTCAATAAAAAGAGGCCCGGGATTGATTTCCCTGAGAATGTATTTTTCTTTGTCTAAAACCAAAGCAGTATCAGCTGGGAAGTAGAAGGTTTTCTTAAAATAGTTCTGTATTCAATGTAAATAGCACTTTCAAAGTCTGCTTTTAAAATATTGTAGAAAGTACACTATGGCAAGTTACTGATCTTTCCTGGATTTCTTCTTGTTTGCTGGGTACAGTGCCCAGATCTTGTAAGCATCTCCCGGCGGCGTGCCCTGCCTTCCGCTGGACGGCTGCTGAGGCCAGCGCCAGTGCACGCAGATGCAGCGGCGTACGTTAGCTGAGTCTCATCTGAGAGTAAAGACAATTATTTTAGAATATTTTTTACAAGAATATTAATCTACTTTGCGCAATATATAGAATATGTGCAGTAAGCAGACGTACATAACCACATCTGTTTTATTTACATTGAGTCACCATCAAAGCAGGGTGATTTATACCTAATCATCTGCAAATGTAATATCCAGAATCTGCCTTATTTTGCCTTCTTGATGCTTCTATTAGGTACTGTAGTTGTGTGTCTTTGAGGGTTTTTCCTATATGAATTCTTGTGTATGATTTTACTTCCTGGAAAAAGTGGCAGGTATCCTTTTAGAATATTTCTTTGATCTTAACATCGAAATATATTTGAGAGTAGGTGTATTAATTCACTTTTGGTTAACGTGGGTGGGGGTTTTAATCAATTTCATTCTATTTTAAGGCTACGGGGTATTCTATTTTCACATCATAAAATAATTGCCAGCTTTAGGATATGTCTTACTTTGTTATAACATATAAGAAGCAGCACCGTGCACCACTGTGCACATCTCAGTGAAGGGGCCGTGTGCTTCGACTCTTGTTCTCACCAAGTTTACCGATGGTGAACTGCAAACTGAAACCCCCCGGTGCTGTCGAACTGCAAAGTTACCATCACAGCGGCTGACTTTTTATTTTTAAATTTGCTTTTTTTGGTTTACTTAAAGACAGTAGTTTACCAGATGAAAGGAAAAGCAGTGTACTTTTGCTGACATAAAAAACCCGCCTGGCCTGCGGTGACGGTTCCTGCCTGCTGCCCTCTGGTGGGGTCACCCTCCTCCCAGAGCCAGGGGCTCCGCTCGCACTCCTCGGCACTGGTTTCCAAACCGATAGAGCTGAGCGTTTCATAACCACCTTCTTGTTTGCTTCGGTTTTTAAAAAATTTAACCTGGGCACACCACAAAGCCTGCCTGTGTGTCTGAGGTGTGAGGCACCTGGAAACCCAACTTCATTTCAAGCGGAGACTCGTTTAAAAATGAAGTCTCCTAGGCTGCGATGGGGTGCTGTAGGACTTGCTGACAGTCATTTTCTCATGGCCTGACAGGTTCTTCGTTCTGTGTTGCTGTTTCCGACGATAGAGCGTATGGCTCAGTCCCCTCAAGGAAAGCTCATGACCCCTTTGCTGTGCAAACTTCGTTACATTCTGTACATGCCCGTCTACCTGCTGTCCTTCCTACCGGAGGGAGTCAAAGCCTCCCTGGTGCGGTTTGCTCTGCGAGGAATGAAGACCTGTGATGAATCTTCCATAACAACCTCCGTAAATCTCTTCAGCGTGGACTGCATTGGTGAGCACGTTTTGGTTTTGTTTTAATTTTTTTTGTTACACCAACTTTTATATTGGTCTTATTTAGTAAATGTTGATATAGTTTTGTGGGCAAAAGCTTAATACTAAAGCATGAATAAGTTTTGAAGGACAAGTCTAATCTTTTCTCAGATTAAGACCATAGGTACAGGAAAATCTCAAAAGAGTCAATTTTGAAAAAAAGTCTTAAAGGGAAAATAAAAAATAATATATTTCCCCACAGAATACGTATATATATTTCTTAGGAAAACTCTGACCTGTACTACTCAGTATCTCATGTGATTAAAACACTGTTTTACAACCTACTTTATGTTATTTATGTCTGCTTACTTTTTGCATTTCATTCATACTGGATGGTGAAAATAAATAGGGAATTGGTTTCACAATGGGTTCTTTGCATCTGCTTTTTTTAAAGCTATGGTTTAACCAGCTGTATAGATTTTGTCATCTGAATTGGAATATTGGTAGATTCAGAAAAGGGCCTTCAGTCTACAAAGACACATAGAAGTTACTTTATGCACAGAAGAATTTCAGCGCTTTCTTGGGCATACGGAGAAAGGTAGATTAACGTTCCTCCAGTGCATATTCTTATGCATGTTTTGCACATTCTAGCAAGAGAAACAGCTTTAAAAAAGGAATAATTTCAGATAAATTATGTTAAGTTTAGAATGAAAACCAAAATATGGATTGTGCTATACTCCAGGTATTTTGTTAAGTTAGCAGTTGAAATCAATTTGGAATAGAATTGACGTGCCAATGCAGTAATAATAGCAAGAAGGAAGTTTTGATTGCATTAATAGTAGTAAAAACACATTCCTACATTTCCAGTTGTGCTCTGTCTTCTATCAGTTAAATTTTACCTTCTAATCGTCCAAACAGATGTGCCAGAGTAACTGTGATTGCAGCGAGGTCCTACGCCTTTCGCAGATATCTGTGGTCGTGTCGGTCTGTGTTGGAGGCTCGCTGTAGGGCTGTATGGAGACCGAAAGCAGGATGGGCAGTGAGGGTTCTTACTGCCAAACCTAGACAGCCCCGCTTATGCTGTACAACCCTGGCGTAATGACAGTCGCTCCGTTGCAGTACCCTGACAAAATCAGGTTCCATTTCCGATAGGAGTCCTATGTTTTGTTGCTTGAGTTCCTATTAATTTATGGCAGTTTTATGGTGACCGAGGAGAAAGCAAGCATGCAGTCATACCTACACTAGGCTTTCAGGCTTCTTCCTTTGATGATTTGGTCTCAGAGAAAGGTATGTGAAGGTCTGTGGGGTCACATCTCCACAAGCCAGGAATCCTTCTCTGGTCTCCAAAGATAAACTTTTACCTCTCAAAACAGGTTATCCACAGCCAGGGTTGTATTGGAAATGGTCCTTGGCCTGCATTAACCTCCAAAAAAGCATGGCCAGGCATTGTTTGTGAGTGCTGTTTGGCCCAGGTCACAGCAGGAGTTACTTAACAGAACGGATTTTGTGTGCTGCTGTTGGAGCCTGACTCTCCGAGCTCTTCAGTCCCCAGGTGAATGAGCCCGGTTGATGTCTGCCTGTCAGCCTGGTGCAATTTTCTGTGTGCACCAGTGTCTGATCTGTGTCCAAGCTGTAAGGTAAACTGAGGCAAGAAACCAGACTGAAGGCTCTTTACTCATAGGATGTGATCTCTGCCTATGTTCAGTTTATTGACTGAATTCATTATACCAGAATGAAAACCCCTCTGAGCCAATGTCTTGTAAAACTTGCATAAATAGTCCCTGTTGATGCAACTAGTTCCTTTGGGCTTGTGATATCATCTCTCTCGAGCAGAATTCCCCTTTGGGATCTTCTTTGGAAACTGATGATATTTTACAGCCCAGTGACTCAGGACCACATGTGTGGATTAATAATCTTAGGGCTTTCCGGATATTGCCTGTTAACCTTCTCCTGTATTGTTTGCGGACAATAGAAAAATGTTACCATTCAGCAAAATTTTGCTAAACCTAGCCCAGCAACCGGGTCTGGCTTATGGGACTGCTCATCTGTGAGTTACCGAAGCCTCTGAATTTGTGGTAAATGTTTTTCTGATTGATTCCTTGTCCCTTAACAAACTGCTAGATATGGTTCAGAAACGTTCAGCAAATGAAGTTGTTTCTCCTCTCCAGGAAGGTTGCATGTCAACTCATTAAAAATACACATATTGCCTTTGGCATGTACATCTGTTGCATTACTGTAATTGTAATAAAAGCTGTGATTAAGGGCAGAAAAGATGGTAAAAGTTTCCTTAAAACTAATACGTCCGTTAAAACAAACCAACCTGCCAGGGATTTGTTGCCACATCCAAAGCTTAGTCACAACAATGTTTTCTCTCCTCTGAAAGGAAATGAGATTTGAAAACTTAATTATAGTGGAACTCTAAAACTGAGTGCTGCTCCCCTTGACACCGAGAGTGAAAAGCTCCATTCAGTGGCAGCAGAATCAGGCCCTTGGCTGAAAGAGTCAGTGAAGGAAGAATTATATTACCTGTCTGTCCCGCTGTTTCAAATTATGTTTGTTCCTGCTTATTATCCAAACTCATCTTTCTGTTGTCCTGACTTAATGGTTGATGATCCGTAGAAGCCCCAGTCACGCAGCAGAAGGCATTGCGATGGCACCGTGCAGAAGGGTCACGAAATAGAACGTCGTGTCCCAACAGGGCAGAAATAACACAGAAATAGCACAGAAAGAGGAGAGACAGCAGGGGCTGTAAAGAAAATGGATTGCAAGGAAGGGTATGAATGAATAAAAGATCTATTAGAAATAAGGAAAGGGGTCTGAAGGCAGTTTGCCTACCTGGATTAAATTTCTAGCAAAGATATCTTAGGGCAGAAAAAGCATTACAATGAAAAAACTAGCATTTGTGTACTTGTATTTATAAACCTAGGAGGTGAATAGACAGAAGAATTGGACATTAGTGACCTTGAGTTATCTGAAACATTGTCGCTCTGTTTATTCAGGCTAGCAAAACAAGGATACCCCTATCTAGCACGGTGGTGGTTGTTCCACAAATCATGCACAGTCCTGCAACGCTGGAATACTTTGGCACTCCGGCGCGTTGGAAATTTGTAAACATTTCTTCGGTGACAGATGCCAGTAGCAGACTTACAGTGACAGTAAACCGCTCTGTCTATGCTGGACAGGATTTATTGTCCAGCCGTTTGACTGGCAAACTTCCTCCATTTGTTTCTGTACAATTTCCACAAAAGCACAGACATTACATAATGGGGAAACACCGCAAGGCTTTTTCGCGAGGCGGGCTGGCAGGTCAGAGGTTAACGTCTGGATGACAGTGAAGATACAGATAAGCACAATAGCAAGAAAAACCTCCCAACTGGCCCAAACGCAGGGCGTCCTTTGTGATCTTGAACCTGTGACTTCCCTGGAGGAATCTCCCTGTTTGTTTAACCTCTGCGGGGAGCAGGGGGAGCCCGGAGATCTGGGGCGCGGGGAGGTCTGCTTCGTGCAATCCGGGCAGGTTGGGAAGGAGGGGACTCAGAAACCTGAAACGAGGGTTTCACGCGGGTTCAGGCTGGAGACAGTAGATTTCCAGTTTAAGCATCCAAGAGATGTTGTGAGAAGGCAAGGAACTAAGATTAAACTTCAGAGTCTGGATTCAGATTTTATCTTGTTCCAAGTAGGAAGACATTCAGATTTCATGTGGAGCGTTTACATTTCATAGAATCATAGAATCATAGAATGTTTAGGGTTGGAAGGGACCACTAGTGGTCATCTAGTCCAACCCCCCTGCAGTGAGCAAGGACACTGCTAACTAGATCAGGTTGCTCAGAGCCCCATCCAACCTGGCCTTGAACGTTCCCAGGGATGGGGCCTCCACTACCTCTCTGGGCAACCTGTTCCAGTGTTTTACCACCCTCATTGTAAAAAATTTCTTCCTTACCTCTAGCCTGAACCTACCCTGTTCTAGTTTAAAACCATTTCCCCTTGTCCTAACACAGCTGGCCCTACTAAAAAGACGTTCCCTCATTTTACAGAGAAAAAAAAGGGCTAAGGCATTTTCAGACACTCCATAGGACTGCATAGGAAGCAAGGGTCCCGACCCAGGTATTGCGGCTTGTCTCGCTGTCTCTCTGCTGGCTGTGCCGAGTGACAAAATTACATCCCTGAAGGGCCGCGGAGTAAAAAGCTTTCTCATAGGATAAAATTTGCAGAACTGTCAAATAGCATCTGGGAGATAAATTTGTATCAAAAGCCGGTGGAACATAGGCTTCCAGTTGCTATGAAAATGGAACATAAGCTATTACATTGACTAAGTTATTTTAAAATTTTATCTCCAAGGAGCCAAGTGGAAAATTTCATTCTGAGTTTGAATTATCCCAGCCTTGGGAGTTGTCATGTCTTTTCTATTCCAGTTCTCTCTTCTTAATCAGAGAGATTTTAAATATGACATTATAGGTGGCCTTCCTCTGACCACTGCGGATATCTCCAAATAGTTGGCTTCTAAAGCAGGACAGGTGAATCGCACCCTACAGATGACTGTTTCTCTTTACTGACCTCAGAGGGACCCTCTCTCTACTAGATACCCAAAATTAGAGGAGATAAATCCCACTCTTATCTACTGGCTGCTCATTTTGCTGCAGACATCAGAAAACACCGTGATCTGAGTTGTCCCTGCAGCCTTCACCCTTGCTGCCAGGACAGTCAGCTACCCCGTGCTGTGGCTACATTCGAATTTGCAGCTGCTGGTTTCTAGTGAGAGTCCTGTTGTTTGTTTCCTACCTTCTTTGAAAATCCATTTTACACCTCCACCTCCATTTTCTGACAAGTAAAATGGGAAATTTTTGGAGAGCTCTTTTTCTGTGACTAAAATGCTGTAGAAACACCTATCTAACTGAAAGACTTGGGTAAGGACTGTGCGTGGTGTTGTATTCGTGGCACTCAGTAGCTCTTCCATCCGTTCTGCTCCTTTTTTCAGAGTTAAAAAACAGTGTTTAAAATATTAGGTAAGCACTTGATAAACAA